AACTCCTAGATCATTTCCATTCAAAATTAAATATTCTGTCTCACATCAACATTTGCCATAAACTGTCTCTAACTTAATTTCCAGAGTGTTACATTAATTCAATCAAACTAGGGAGACTTGATATCATTCGAGCACAATGCATTAACACACAAATTCAGCTACAATATAGGTAAAATGTGTCTTCCCCAAATTAAATATCTATAAGGCATCTATGAGTGGTGAATTCAGCTTATGAAATGTGCACTCTTCCCGTACAAACCTCCCAATTTAGATCACTGAAATATGAAATTCTGTGGCTACAACTTCAATCCTTTAGTTTTACACTGTTTCCTACTGCTAAAATGCAGTAATTCTGAAGGCATATGCCTTAAACTATATTGGTCACCTATGACTATGAAGAAAACAAAATAATGTAATCAAAATGGGATGGTAGGGATAGAAGGAAAAGGTTCTGGTTTAATAGGAATAATCAGGAAAGTCGTTCCTGAAAAAGTGACATTAGAGTTTCAGATGCAGGTACCCATTCAAAGAGCTGAAGAAAGACTGACCAAGAATAAAAAATACAAGGAATGAGCTTGTAGAACATTTGAAGGGTAAGAAGGAATTCCATAACACAGTAAATTGGGGTGGAGAGACATACTAGAATACAATACCATCAAGAGATACACACAGGCTGGATCATTTGGTGCTCTTTAGGAAATGGTAACAAATTTATAACTTGAATAAAATTCAAAGAGAAAACAAAGGATGATCCATGTGACCCACATTTAACAGAAATATAGTGACAACACCATCCTTAATTTCTCCAATAAGAAAAAAAAAAAAAAAAACTTGTTGCTGTCAAATTGATTCCAACTCCTAGTCACCCCATAGGACAGAGTAGAACTGCTCCATAAAGTTTCCAAGAAGAAGCAGCTGGCCAAGCTTCTTTTGGTTAGCAGTCCAGTGCTTAACCATTGCACCACCAGGGCTAAATTAGCCAGTGTAGGTGCAAACTTTGTTTACCCTTCATTTTAAAGAAAAAGAAATGTTAAGCAGATTTAGGCCCCATGCTTCCACATTCTTTCAAAAATCCAGTAATTTTACTATTAGAGCAAATATGATTTAAAGTTCAGTAGATAAAGTACAAACACTGACTAAATCCATAAATCCATTGCCGTTGAGTCTATTCCAACTCGTAGCAACTCTACAGGACAGGGTAGAACTGCCCCATAGGGTTTCCAAGGAGAGGCTGGTGGATTCAAACTACTGACCTTTTGGTTAGCAGCCAAGCTCTTAACCACTGCATCACCAGGGCTCCCCACAAGCACTGACTACAACTGATAAATAGTAAGTCTAACCTATATGCCTCAGTTTAACATATTTAAAAAGTGTCAGTAGTTAATAAGAGGAAATAGCTTAATCACTTATTTTATCAGGAAAATCAATGCAAAATAAAGACTGATTGACACTACATTTATTTATTTTATTTTTATACCATTTTTCAAAAGGTGAAATAATACATTCCATCTAAAGTCTTCAGATAATCACCCCAAGCTATTCTTTCTTCTTCTAAAAATTGTGATTTATTTAGCTAATGAGGAATATTAATTACAGTTCCCCAGAAATATTTTCAAGAAGATCCCCACCTTTTGTATTACTGGCTATTTTTATAGCATGAAAAATGTTTCTCATAAACACTATCTTTGAATTTCCTTTAAAGTAACAGTCAATGCCCATCCCGAACATCTTGCATTTCATCTGTATGCATTTAAACCAATTTTTGAAGAAAGAATAAACATAATAAGCACTACAATAGAGATTTAAGAGTTACATAAATAGTGAGAAAATATATGAACATTTTATTAAACTTTCCAGCAATGGCCCAAAACAAGTAAAAGCTAACTTTCAGTCATTTTCATAGTACACTAAAATCTAACTCTTCATAAAATATGTATACATATTCAATGTGTGTGTATGTGTATGCATTTTACAATGTTTATGCTAGTAGCAAACATTTATTTCTTCCACACAGGCTTTTAAACTGTCTAAAACCTTACACTGTGTCTTAACTATTCTCACATGCTTATTTGAGATATTTCACAGAAAAATTAAGCACTCCAGAAACGTTCATTTAATTGAACTGACTTGAACTGAATCACAATATTATTTGTCAAAAAGTAGAATTCAATATCCCACAGAATTTGACATTAAGTTGTCTTGTTTCAGACTCAAATTCAGTAGCTTCAGAAGTATTCGTAACTAAATTATTCATAAGAATCTGTCACAACAAGGTTCAATTAAAATGTGGCCCTTTTACCATGTTCTCTAAGATAATAGCATGATGCTCCAGTCTGGAGGCACACTTTGAGGGAATACTCGCATGCAAAAAATGTAATGATTTTAATGAAAGTGTCAATTTAAATCTTTGTTCTTGTTGTTTTCTGAACCCAAAAGGGCTGGCTTCTAAGACACAGGACTGGAAGAGACAGGCATATAAATAGAGCATCAGGATGTATTACAAATAAATAGCAAAAAATTTTACTATTTCTAAACAGCTGTTAAAAGACACATTTTGAACTCACATTTGCTAATCACACAACATGTTACCGAATACCACCATTTGTTATCTACAAAGCAAAGGAATAAATTAGTAAACTGTATCCAGTCATGTGTATAATCCTCCCTTAGTTGATTCCAGTTCATTGTACCATACTGGGAGTATGGCTTTTTCTGCCACTTCTCTGTAACACATAAAAGGTATTAAGTTTCACTTTAAAAAGAATTAAACAAAGAAAGAAAAAGCAGCTTCTGTTTGTACATAAACACTAGGCATAGAGATTCTATACTGCATCCTAGGAGAAATCAGGGAGCCAAAATAATGAGCTTAAACCCTCAGAAATCTGTGTCTATGGTTCAATAATTTGAAAGCAGTTACTAAATAATCTCTTACATGGTACTAGCAAATTTTCCTTTGTTTATCCACCCCAGAATTGTGTCTTTATTTTAATTGCTGTTAAGCCCTTTGCTCAAGGTTTATAGCTCCATTCTCTGATACTCCCAGATTCTCTATTTGGGTTTTGTAGCATGTGGTCACTGAGGTTACATTTGCTTTTCCTCTTTTATGTTTAGCCTCATTGCCTCAAACTTTTCTTCTCACTGAATACATATAAGTCATTTATCTCTTCATATTTCTATTCAGTCTAAGTGCGGATTGTGTGTGTGTGTTGGTTTTTTGTTTTGTTTTGTTTCATTTTTGCTTTTAAAAAGGAAGGGTGGCCTCTCCCATTTTTTCCTGATTCATTAAAATGTTCACAGCTCTTTTCTTAGTGCTTATTTCTTCCTTGTTACTGAATAGCACAGAGCACCACCACTACATACTGCCTTGAAAAAGACTTACTCACCAATTTATTCTATTTTAGAAATGTACTTCCAGTTTCCTATGAAATCAGATGCACATTAATCATCTAAGAGCCATTAGCAGAATTATTGTATTGTCAATGATAAACATCAGCCAACTTTTGAAAATCTGATGTTGGGAAGGGGTACAAAATATATCAGACACTAGCCACACTGGGTAGTCTGTGATAAAACAAATGCCACAATTTCTATAACAACAAGTAATATTTATTTAAAGAAAAAGTTAATTAAGTCAAAAGTGTATTTTTGCTAAAAGAATTAAGGCTACATTAAATTATATATAGCTTTCACCAATGAATTGATAAAGGTAAATATCACCTCAAGTTATAATTTCTACCATATTTTTCTCAATCTGGTTTGAGTATATTTTATATTATTGTTTTTACTATTGCTTTTATTGTCATTATAATTATTTTTATTTCCCTAAGTCTCTCTGTAGACTATATTAGCTATTCACAGTGCGTCAACTTTTGGCCCTCAAGGGCAAAAGGTATCAAATTCTGTCCACTGATGCATGACCAACATGAAAACCACATTCACAGGTATAAAATATTCCTATACAGGTGCAAAATTTGGATGAATGAACAACCCAAATCACAAATTTTATAACTATAATAACTCATAACTACAGCTAATAATGTATAATTCATCCATAATAGACACACTGTAGGTTCATAATATGTGCATTGTGTATGCATATGTGTTATAACATCCACCCTTTTTTCTCCCATTCAAGAAATCATTACCAGGATAAGAATAAATTATGGGAAAAACCTTGCCTGTACTCTTATTTACTAAAAAAAAAGAGTAAATCATTAAAAAAAAACCTTGTTACTTAACTACTGCTAGTTACAAATTACTTGAGACACACTCACAAGTGATCATGATGTGTTGGTGTGTCTCATGAGCCTGGGAACTGGTAAACTCAGTTTCATTTCAAACCTGGCAGACGTCAGAGGAGCAATGGCAATAATGGCCTAAATAGTAACATAGTGGTGGGTAAGAGTCTGGCTGTATCCAATAAGTCCTTGTGGTAAGCAGAATAATGGCCCTCTAAGATATCCATGGAAACCTTGGTGGCATAGTGGTTAAGTGCTATGGCTGCTAACCAAAAGGTTGGCAGTTCAAATCCATAAGGTGCTCCTTGGAAACTCTATGGGGCAGTTCTACTCTGTCCTATATGGTCACTATGAGTTGGAATTGACTTGACAGCAATGGGTTTTTTAAGACATCCATGTCCCAGAATGTGTGAATATGTTACCTTAAATGGCAAAAGGGACTTTGCAGAAGTGATAAAGAGGTTTAAATGGGAAATTATCCTGGATTATCAGGATACACCTAATGTAATCACAAGGCTCCTTACAAGGGAAAGAGAAAAGCAGGAAAGTCAGAGCTAGACAAGATGTGAGGACAGAAGCTGAGGTTGGAGTGATGAGATTGCTGGCTGGGGGCCACAAGCCAATAAATGCAGGTAGCCTCTAGAAGCCAGAAAAGGCCATGAAATAGATTCTCCCGTAGAGCCACCAGAAGGAATGTAATCCAGCCCACACCTTGATTTCAATCCTGTGAAATCCTTTTGGCTTCTGACCTCTAGAATTGCAGATAATAAATCTATGTTGTTTTGAACTACTAAGTTTATAGTATACGATAGGAAATGCCTACAGTCCTCAAACCAGTGAAGTCATACTTGGTTTTGTTGCTGCCATAGAGTCCGACCCTGACTCATTGTGACCCCGTGCACAACGGGGTTGGACTGTTATGATCCAAAGGGTTTTTCAATGGCAGATTTTCAGAAATAGATACCCAGGCATTTCTGCGTAGTCTATCTTAGTCTGGAAGCTTTGCTGAAGCCTGTTCAGCATTATAGCACCACACAAGCCTCAGCTAACATGAGATACATTGGCCAGGAATCGAACCCAGGTCTCCAGCATGGAAGGCGGGAATTCTACCACTGAACCACTACTGCCCTCTCAATGCATATTAGTACACACCAAAAATGTTTCCTGAAGCATCTGACTCATTGCCTAAAAAGAACTTAGTTGACAGTGCCTCAGTTATGGTGATAATGCAGGGAGATATCAGCCAAGAAAAAAGAAGGCAAGAAAAAAATCATAGGTCAAATAACAAATGACTACTTGCCTTGTATAGATGAAGATTTACCTGATCATTTCCTTCACCAAATCAGAACTATCAGTTTGGTTTTTCTTCCTATTTTCCTCTAACTGCTATATAAAAAGATTCTTAATAATCAAGAATATGTTAATATTTAGGCAGTTTAGAAGAGACCAAATAGAGAATATTAATAACCAATAGTCTTTTAACAATAAAGCTAACTGCAGCCTTAGTTACATTCTTAACTTTATCTATTTAGTAATTTAACTTAATATCTATTTGCATAGTGATAATCTGTTCCACTGAAAAACATATCTATTTAATGAAACTGACCACTTCCCATTTTTCAGATGCAGATCAATCTTACAGCTCCATTCTTACATTTTAAAAAGGACAAATTCTCTTACTTTAATTCTAAGTTATGAATGGTTCATTTTACATTCATTCAGCTGAAACTTAAAGCAATGGTGCAGAAAGTGATTTTTCAAAGAGCTAGTAACATAAATAACATACTTTTACACTTATAAAACACTGTATTATAATCCTGTTGTATTTCTCTTCAGAAATGCTTAAACCAAGATACTTTTAAAAGAGAAAATGTTGTTATATACAATGTAATATGACAGCAAATCATGTATGTAACACAAAGTATTTCTTAATATATTAATCAACACTGTAGATGTTAAGAAAAAGAACTGAGAGGAAAATTTGGGTTGCTTAAATACATTTAAAGCTCACCAATAGAGGCTGGCAACGATCATTCCTATGTGATCCTGGACAAATACTCAAGAGACATTCTAAGACATTTCCAAATGTTGAAGAAATGTTGCTAGACTGAGGCCTGTTTCCCTGCAGATTAGGAGGAAGCAAGATGAAGTTGAGTATTTAATATTAGGTAGCGTTACACTTCATATTCATATTTAAAATATGAGTAAGAAATGTAAATGCACGGTAGATTCCACACAGTGTATCTCTATATTACACTAAGCAAAATGTGGGCCCATTTGTTTTCATAAGACTATCAGTAGTACATTAGGTCTGTCAATCAACAAATATTAATTTGAGTGATTACTATATTCTAGGCACTCTAATATGCAGTGCAGTATCAAAAAAAAATTTTTAAATAAAGGAGAATAAGACCAGGGGCCATGCTTTTTATCTCACAGTCCAGTTGATGAGAACATGAAAATAAATGTACCAACACAATTGTTGAGGGCTTTGAAAAAGATCTGATATATGAATAAACCACTAATTTTCTATGGTAAAGTTGGAGAGTTATTTCAAAGACAAGTTGATATTTGAGCTGGATTTACAAAAGAAAAGTATTAAAAGGATTACTATCTGTGCCTCATAATGTTGAAACCATCATAAACTACTTGCTTAATATCTATTTGATACTAAATACAATTAAATGATATCAAATATCCCCTAATGGAATTAATTGAATTGATATGAACATTGCCTAGCCCTATGTAAGTGACTTTCTGTTTTTGTTTTTTTGTCAGTGTTCTGATGAAACTTACTAAAACTGGCTGCAAGTCCTTTTCTATATCATTAACTCTTATTTTAAAAAAAATATTTATTTATGTGAAAATATACACAGCAAATGATACACACACTGTTTCAACAAACTCTACCTGTATTATTCAGTGAAACTGTTTACATTCCTTGAGTTGTGTAACAGTTCTGGCTATTCTTTTCCAACTTATCCTACCACCATTAACATAAACTCTCTGTTCCCTAAGCTTCCCATCTAACCTTTCAAGATGCTCTTGTCCATTTGATCCTACTTAGATAAATCTTCTAAAGAGCTCAGTGCTCAAGGCAGACATAATTTACTAATTAAGCTAAATTGCTGTTTGGCTCTAAGCAGACTTCCAGGGAAAGTTTTGATTTGGGGTTCAAGGTTTGAAGATTATATCAGGGCAATAGTTTCAGCTGTTTCTCCAGCCTTTTTATCTTCAGGCAGTACCACCCATCATCACATGTTTTGATGCAGTACAAAACAAACTGCATAGTAGTCACTATTCTGTGGATTAATATTGAGCAGCAAGTTTTTCTTTTCATTAGTTCACTACTTCATAAATTTTAACTTGATATTAAAATTAACACTCACTCAGTTTATTTCTAATAGTGTTATTTTCAATAACCCAACTATGCTATATAAAGAAGTTAAAGCAAAACTAAAAACAAATGTTTAAGAAACTTCACCAAAAATTATTAACTCCAGTGTTTCAACATTTAAATACAGCTGAACTTCAACAACGCAGTAAAATACTATAGTTCAGACTTCAGCGTACATTCCTTTCATTTCTGTCTAGTTGCTACAGGGCACAGCTATTCATATCTACAAAGCCTGTTGGATTTATATGTGAGAGGAGAATGGGTTGAAATGAAGGTTGCATCACAAGAGAAAGCATGAGCACAATAGATTAGAACAAGAGAAGGATTGTCTGAGGTACCTCCTTCATACATTGCATGGATTGTGAGTGACCAGTTCTTTTTTAAATTTTATCAGAGGCAGTTACTATCATTCTTTTTGTTGTAGAAAATAAATGAACAGGGGTGGGGAAAGATGTCATGAGTAGGGAAGAAAGTTATGTGTGGAATGAAGGGGGAGGATGATGGGAGGGAAGAACTTACTAAGGTTCTTTAAATCATGCAGGCTTAATGACCTTGCACATTTTATTCACATACACACTCACTTTCCAACCTCAAGACGGGCTTAAAGACTTGTGACAAGGTCACAGTCTTCAGAAAAGATTAAAAAAAATACCTTTTGAACTAAAAAAATTAAAACATGTAAAAATAAAATGTAACAGTCATTTGAAACTTCTTTGTAGAGGAAAGGGGAAAACATATTTGTGTTTGTAATCTTAACTGGTTTCAAAATTATGAATGTTTTACCAATCGCCATATATATCCAAATATGTAAGTGAAGATGACCAAGAAATCAAGAATAAATTTAGTTTTCTTTGACAATATTTAAATCAGTGAAAATTAACAATAGCTCAAAACACCTTTATATAAATGCATAGGAGGATGATACTGGGAAAATGAGGATTTAATTGTAGAAACTGGTTGGAAGGTATTTTAACAGTTCAGACTTATATGTTTACATGTAATTTTTAACAGGTGACTATATATCATTATATATCAAAATAGAGTTTAGAATAAATTTTTGAAATTGAATTTTAAATATAAACTTATTCTAAGACATGTGACCAATTCCTTTTTACAGACTACAGGCAGGTCTACATAGTGAAAAAACTAAAATAATAGAGATAAAACATTTAAAGTTGTTTTTAAAAATTCTAAATATTTGAAGACAAATCACAATTCTTTCCAATCAAGAAAATGTAAAAGCTAGCAATACTAACTGGGTTTTCAAAACTATGTAATTTTAATAGAAAAATTTAGTTATCTAGTACACTTTGTTAATTGTATTACTGGAACAAATTCACACTGTAAAATGAGATAAACCTATGTTCAAATTCTAGCTCTGACATTTTCTAGTTGTGAAACTTGGGGCAAATCATTCAACTACTCAGAGCTAAGTATTTTCAACTACAAAACAGGGATACTATATACCTATCTTTAAGGTTGTTGTGAGGATTATGTTACTATATAAAATATTATATGATGATATAAAGTATCAAGAATATAACTCTAGAGATGTTAGTGCCAACATCTTCCCCTCCCCCTCCCACAATATAAACTCTAAACTTAAAGCTTTATTTTAAAAGGAAAGATGTATACTAATATCCACTCTGAGGTCCACAGAACAAAAAAGAGATGTGCAAATGACCTCAGTGAGAAGCCAAAAGTTATGCAAACTCCTTCTGTCTTCAATAATTGAGGTGTTAAAAAATACACACAGAGTTCTACTTATCAACTGTATTCATTGACAGAGACAGTAAGATAATGTCCAAAAGCAAATTACATACTGATGAGGTTCTATTTGTTCAGTGTCTTTTAGAAAATAGAATTCTTCTTTAAATATATTGATATACACCAATATTTTATATTACCCCACTTTCTATTATTTTTTGAGATTTGTGATAAACATTTTGTCACCTCTTTGTATAACAACATGGTATGCTTTTTAAAAAAAATTTCTATGTGATTATTGTATCAAGGCATTTTGTTGCTATTTTAAAGTTTAAAAATGATTTACCTAGCTACCACAGATATACATTTCTTATAAAATATTTTTAAACATTGCTGAAAGAAATCAAAGAATGCGAACATAAAAGGATTAATGAACTTTATTAATGTTTTATGATATTTAAACCTACTTTATCAATCCATCTGGCATCTTTGACATGGAGACAGTGTATTAAACTATTTTCTGTCTTCTATCCAGAATCACTTGGTGCATGAATTACAAAGCTTCTGTATGTCAACGCTTATAATACTGTATTTCTTAACTTTATAACTTACTGTGGTGAGTCACTAGAAAGTTGACAATTTGTCTTCTTTTCCACTGAGAAGACAGACTAATTTAAAATGATTTCTCTTTCACACAACCCAAAACATGCTGTCAGACTGAAAGACTCAATGAGAGCTTAGCATGAAATGTCAATTTGAAATGCTAGCTATTATCTAAGGGTTTTTTTCCCCCTCCCCTCTGATATACTTCAGTGAAGAATATTTATACATAAACCACAGACATTGTTTCAATCTGTAAAAGAATATGAAAACTTTTGGTTTGTGAGCTTCTGCAAAAAGGTGAAAATTGTTTCTGTAATAAATGTTTCTAAAATAGCTTCATGATTCCCATGAGCCTATTATGAGAACTACTCATTAGTCAAAATTTTTAACTTATGATAGGTAGATGTAACTGCAATAAATTAACTTTATATTTCTTCCAACAACTCACTGTTGGACCAAATCAATAGACAGTAGCAATGTAATAGGTACTGTGGAAGAGCATACTAACTAGTTGTATAAACTTAATGAATCATTTTCACACTCATGGTCTGTTTCCATGTCAATAAAGTGAAACAGCTGCACTCAATTTTTGCTAAGACATGTGTTAAGGGCTGAATTATGTCCTCCAAAAAGATATGTTAAAGTCCTACCCCCGGTACCTGTGAATGTGACTCTATTTGGAAATAGGCTCTTTGCAGATGTAATCTGGATGAAGTCATCGATTGGGTACAGACACAGGGAGAATGCCTTGTGTTAACGGAAGCAGAGATTGGTATGATGCATCTACAAACCAAGAAACGTCAAGGATTGCCAGCCACATCAGAAGTTAAAAGAGTGAAATAGATTCTTCCCTAAAGCCTTAAGAGAGAGCATGGCCTTGCTGCCACTTTGATTTTGGACTTGTAGCCTCCAGGACTGAGAGTAAATAAGTTTATTTTGTTTTATTCCACCCAGTTTGTGGTAATTTGTTTTCGAAGCCCTAGGAAACTAGTACAACTTGTTTTGACTCTACAATTCTCTGAATGTTTTTTTGAGATGTAAAACTTAAGGAAATATGATCATTATCTTATAACTAATTTTAGGGAGAAAATATGTAGCATATATTCTGGAACAGTAAGCAAAGTATCAATACAAAGACACTAAGAAATAAAATTCCTTTAGCATGGTGCATTTGATCCAAATCAAATAGGCTATGGAAAAATTCTCGATCCTCCCACATTTAAGTGTTGTCATATCTTAATTTAATGGACCCTGCAGCTGTATTTGACAATAAGGACCTCACTAATTTTTTCTATTCCATAAAAAGTAAGGACCTTTGGTCATGGAAGCTCCATAGACACATCCAAACTCCCTGAGGGACTGAATTGCTGAGCAGAGAGCTGTGGGGACCATGGTCTCGGGGAACGCCTAGCTCAATTGGCATAACACAGTTTATAAAGACAATGTTCTACATTCAACCTTGGTGAGTAGTGTCTGGGGTCTTAAAAGCTGTGAGCTGCCATCTAAGATACTCCACTCATCCCACCCCTTTGGGAACAAGGGAGAATGAAGAGAACAAGATACAAGGAAAAGACTAGTCCAAAGGACTAATGGATCACAGCTACCAAGGCCTCCACTAGACTGAGGGACAGCTAGATGGTGCCCGGCTACCACCACTGACTGCTCTGACCGGGATCACAACAGAGAGTTCTGGACAGCTGGAGAAGGATATAGAACAAAACTTTGACACACACACACAAAAAAGACCAGAGTTTTCTGGCCTAAAAGAGACTGGAGAAACCCCGAGAGTATGGAACCCAGACACCCTTTCAGCTCAGTGGTGAAGTCACTTCCGAGGTTCACTGTTCAGCCAGGGATTGGACAGCCCCATAAAACAAAATGGGACTAATGAGGTACAGCAGTCCAGGGACAAGGACTAGAAGGCAGAAGAGGACAGGAAAGCTGGTGATAGGGAACCCAAGGTTGAGTAAGGACAGTGTTGACGTGTGGTGGTGTTGTTAACCATTGTCATAGGGCAACGTGTGTACTAAATGTTTAACAAGAAACTATTTTATTCTGTAAACCTTCAGCTAAAGTGAGAATAGCAGCACAACTGGAAGAGCGCAATAGATGTCACTGAACAGTGTATGTAGAAATTTTTGAAATGGTGTATCTTTGGCTATGTATATTTTCACTAAAAAAAAAAGAAAGGTCGAGAAGGGAGAGGGTTGACATGTCGTGGGGTTGTTAACCAATGTCATAAAACAGTATGTGTACTACTGTTTAATGAGAAACTATTTCTTCTGTAAACCTTCACCTGAAGTACAATAAAAAAATAAAAAAAGTAAGCACCTTTGTTTATATGATGCAACATTCTTGTTCTCCTCCCCCCTCTGTGGCTCTGATCATCTTCAATGTGTTCTACTTCAGTGGTCATTGCATTTCCCAGGATGTGCTGCTTCACTCAGGGACTCACTATGCTTCTCTCCGTTTTCTCATTAGGTGATCTCATGCATTCTCTTGGTTTTAATTATCATCCATGCACTGATGATTTCCCAAATCTTTATCTTAGGCTCTGATCTTTCACCTAAATTATAGACTCATGGCCTAGTTATAAAGCAATATGGTATTCCAGTTCCTGTTTTATCCAATAAAAATAAAACAAGTATGAAACAAAACACTGTTGAAAGTATAACAGTCATCTACTTATTGAGCACTTACTATGTTCAAGGCACCATGCTGAGGACTGAGTATCCTGTAAAAAAATGCACAGACATAATACTTGCCCTCACGTATTTTTTAATATAATTGCTTCTCTCCCCAATCCACCTTTCTGTTTTAGTTTAAAATCTCAAGTTTATTTCACCCTTGAAGGAGAACTGAAAAAGGGAACAGTGGAAAACAAGTATAAATATTTTTCTCCTAAGGAAATAGCATTTTATAAAGTAAATTGTAGTACATATTTTCTTTAGAACAGTTTTTTTTAATTAAATCTAATTTTTATAGCAAGCTTTTGCAGTGAAAGAAAATGTAATTTCAAGATATAGCTTCAAAAGAATTCTTCTAACTACCTAACATAAGAAGAAACTGGTATTAAAAATGACAATGTAATATACATTAAGAACAACCAGTATAAATATATTTTTAGTTGCAAAATCACTGCAACAAAACTATATTACAGTTGTCACAAAATGTGGCATATCTTGAAGAAGTGTAAAATATTTCTGGAGCACAAAAAATTGATAGGATAGATAGGGTACAAGATTAAGTGACAGGTATAAGAAACAGAAGTCTGTAAGAGCTGATTAATTATTACAGAATTATACTTCCAACTGATTGTCTTCTTAAGCATAAAAAGACTGAGTATGCTGTTTATAAATACCATGATGCTTCTTTCATTAGTTATCCTCTTCTCTTAAAAAAAAAAAAAAAATGGATACTGGATTGATTAATTGTGAAGGTGAAGAAACAAATACTCCACTAGGAGTTTTTAAATGCAGATCTAACTCAAAATAACAACCAAAAAAAGTGTAGTGTCACTTATAATCAAGGAATACAATTCTTGCAGTTATTTTAGGGGTAAGAATTATTTTTTTTTCAATTTATGTCAAAATATATGAATATATATATATATATCTCCACAAAATTAAATTATTGGCAGTGTTCTACAATATGTTATCAAAAAGTGATTGTAAACTTTACTTTTCCTATTAAGTAGAAAACCAAAATGGAGTACAACGACCTTTTTCTCCAGAAGATAAATTCTGCATATTACATGTATTTTACTATATGTAAGTTAAGGTTTTATTACAACCTTGCCCCAAAGTCTGCATAGTTTATCCACTATAATATTCACTCTTGCAAAGGCACTCCAAAGTAAATATTACAGAAATATGTAATAATCTTCAATATGTCAACTTCAAATGGTAGGGGTACCTCTACATACCCTTGTAACTTAAAATGGCCCATCACAGACTAAATATTTTTAAATGTGTGTGTAAATCATTCCTGAATCTATTAACCACCTTAGGTTAATAGAGACAGATGGTGACCTTGTTTTTTCTTCAAGAATATTAAAATTCATTTAAAAACCATAAAACAGGAATAATTCAAATAAAATTCTTCAGAATTTTAGAGTTCTCTCACCATATCATATTTCCATCGTTCTCTTTCCTACATGAGCATTTGGTGGTTTAATCCTTCTTTATGTAACCATCTGCACTGTTTCTTAGATAATTTCAATTCCTTCTTTCTGGACTGTTCCAAGTACTGCTAAACTTCCTTGACATGTTACTACACATTGTATCCTTTCAGAAATTGATACCCCAAGATTTATACCAAGATAATGATGGGTTTTATTTCATTTTAATAGCCTTTTTGATAATCATCCTTTGATAACTCCAGAATTATTCCCATGAAATCATGACCCATCAGTCTATTGGTATAATTTGGTTTAGTTATCTCTAAATCCTTATTTTTAATACCCAAATTAAAATTAATTCAGCATTTTTCAATCAACTCAGACAATTTCTCCCTTGAATTACAGTTTCTTAGACCAGAAGATTTGAAATGATGATTGAGATATATTTCTAGTGAAGAATGTAGATTACAATTGGACCTGTGTGAAATCCAAACACAGTACTCTTTTTAAGGTGAACTAATAGCCTGAAATCAAAAGTAAAGTCTTAATTTTGAAGATTATATATATATATATATATATATATAAGATTATGCAAGTGTCCATTGTCCCATAGGGCACTCCAGATATAATACTGTCCATTTTTTCTATCATTGAGATTTTAATATTATTATTATTATATCTTAACTATTCACAACAAAATTACCCTCTATTTTATGTCACAAAGTAATGGGAACTGATCAGCAATTGTTCTTCCTTCCTTTGCTCCCAAGTCCATTTTCACAGTTTATTTCAACAAATATTGTTGGATACCTTCTATGTGTCATCTGCTGGACACATAAAGATAAACCAGAAATACTCATTCAAGAAACGAGTAAGTGTGAGCAAGAGAGAAAGGTCACAACAAAGAATGGTAATACTGTAATAGCGTATGAAAGTATCATATAAAGGCAGCTAAAGAAGTAATTCATTTTGTTTAGAAAACGGGAAATCAGGAAAAGCTAATGATAAGAATTTTATTTTGATTCGTAATCTTACCGATACCGCCAGTGAAGAGAGGTAGGGCAAAGCATTCAAACAGAGGGGTACACATATGAAACAGTGTATCATTTGTTCAACAAAACTGAGTAACCCAACGTGGCAATAATTAAGTACAGAGAAACATGAATCTTGAAAAACAGAATTCCGAGAGGCTGTGAAGGACTTTTTATGTTGTGGACAGAAGTCTGGACTTGATTCCATAGGCAGTGAAGATTTTAGTGCAAGAGTCATAGACAGTAGGATCTGTGTGGGGAAAGACCATTCAAGCATTGTGTAAGATGGATCAAATGTGGAAAAGTTGTTGTTAGTTGTCGTCAAGTAGGAGGGATCAATTTGGACTATTATAGGATTTCCAGATAGAAAATGCTAAGGGAAGAAAAATAAAGTTAAAGAGTGGTTAAGAAGAAGAGAAGCAGCTGAAGAGAGGAGGAAAAACTTTTGGAAACAAAAATTCAAAAAACTTGGTGACGTGCTTAAGGAAGATGTGAAGAAAGAGATAAATCAAGAATGACTCAAAGGTTACAAGTTTGAGAAACAGGTAACTGGACTATGAAAAGGAAGAGAATGATTTTTATGAGTATCTTAAGGAGGGGAACAGTATCTTACTCTTTTTTGATCTGTTGTGTAGGACAGGAGCATCATAGGCATTTAAATAATTGTTAATGACTGAATAAATTACATTCATTCTTGCAGCAGGTCATTTATTGTTATTAGGTGTTGTCCAGGCAGTTCTGACTCATAGTGACCCTATGCACAACAAAACAAAACACTGCCCAGTCCTGCACTATCCTCACAGTCATTGCTATGTTTGAACCCATTGTTGCAGCCACTGTGTCAACCCATCTCCTTAAAGGTCTTTCTCTTTTTTGCTGACCCTCTACTTTACCCAAGCATGATGTCCTTCTCCAGGGACTGGTCCCTCCTGATAACATGTCCAAAGTACATGAGACGAAGTCTCCCCATCCTAGCTTCTAAGGAGCATTCTGGCTGTACTTCTTCCAAGACAGATCTGTTCATTCTTCCGGTAGTCCATGGTATATTCAATATTCTTCATTAACACCATAATTCAAATACATCAATTCTTCTTTGGTCTTCCTTACTCATTATCCAGCTTTTGCATGCATATGAGGTGATTGAGAATACTATGGCTTGAGTCAGGCACACCTTAGTCCTCAATGTGACATCCATGCTTTTTAACACTTTCAAGAGTTCTTGTGCAGCAGATTTGCCCAGTGCAATAATACGTCATTTGATTTCTTGACTGCTGCTTCCATGGGCTTTGACTGTGGATCCAAGCACAATCTCCATAATTTCACTCACAGACTGGCTCTTCTAGAGAACCAAAGTAGAAAAGTCCTTTAAGCATAATTCAATGTTTGACAGATACATTTGTACATGACAAAGTTAGGGTCTACATATAAGAATGCCTTGATCTTTGTATATAAAGACACCATTGTTGTTAGGTGAACCTTAATGTAAACCACAAACTTTAGTTAACAATAATGTATCAATTTTGGTTCATTAATTGTAAGAAATGTTGTTGCTGCTAGGTGCCATCGAGTCGGTCCCAATTCATAGAGACCTTATGTACAACAGAACAAAACACTGCCCAGTCTTGTGCCATCCTCACAATCATTGCTATTTTTGAGCCCATTATTGCAGCCACTGTGTCAGTCTATCTTGTTGAGAAACTTCCTCTTTTTTGCTGACCCTCTACTTGACCAAGCATGCTGTCCTTCTCCAGGGACTGGTTCCTCCTGATAGTTTGTGCTTACTGAGTTACTTTTTCTTGAATGGTACTAGATTTGCAGAGAATATTTCCATAGTCTCACTTCCAGTTAGCACTTCCCCCATAATATACAACTATAAGTTAGTCTAGGGAAATCAGGGTGACAATCCTTGGTAATTAAAAAAAAAAAGTATTTAGCTGAGTCATATACTAATTTCACTATTGACAATCCTTTCTGATTACCGAAAGTAAATTTATCTCATCTGCCATAGAATTTCTAACTTATTTTAAGATGCTAAACTTTATAAACTTTACACATGAATAGACTTATTTGATAAGGGGGGAGGAATATTCAAAATATTATTTTGCATTAATGTTCTCATATGTGGTAAAGTGATACACCAAAAAAAAAAAAAAAGTCTATTATAATAGCCCAATACTAACAACTTAAGAGGCACAAACTAATTATTTTGTGTCTGTCCCTAGACAGTTTCATTCAACTGGCTACATGAGTCAGTTCAAAAGGGACTAAGTGGCCCCTATTTTATATTGTGGAATTACCAGCCTATCTATGATATACACAAAGACATTGATAAATTTTAAATTTAAGCTTAATCGCCTTGTCTAAGTATTAAAAATAGAGAAATGATGGGAAGGGTATTTGACATTCAAACCTTCCCTGACTTAGAACAATTTCCCACTTGCTCTAACCCAATGATACACTCTGTACACAAGACTTGTCTATCAGCATTTAACACCTCAGGAGGTGGAATACAGACACTGTCTCCTTTCCTCACTAGTTAGAATGGCTGTACGAGGATTAGTTATGCATGAGAGGGTATCAGTTAACTGCAGAAAGTCTCAATATAATGACTCCTCTTCTTATCCTAAAATCCAATCATCTTAACTAAGAGTGATTAAAATGTTTATTACTACTTTGAAATCAAGTACGCTATTTCGTTCTACTTTTTTTCACTACTGTGTTATATTTTTTGAGTAGTTTTTTAAAACCTCAACAAAAAATAGTAGTATATTTCTACAACTAAATAGAGATCTTAGATAGAAATCTCTTTCCCTTTTTATGGGTGAATGAACATTTGTAAGCAAAGTTTCATCCCAATAGAATAATTTTCAGTCATTTCCAAGTTTTTTTCCCCATATATATTTGTAAACATGTAACAATATACTTTTTCATAGAATTTTTGTGATTAATACTTTCACATTTCAACATAGAAACACCAGTTTAGCAGCCTGAGAATCAGTGGGGAAATCTAATTTCCTATACTCATTTTCACATTTTAAAGCCTATCCTTTAAAAGAAGATTTAATTATAAAAGCACCAACTCTTGTCAAGTAGTAATTCAACCTGACACAGTTAGAAGTACTTTATATATTTTATGCAAGTATATCAATGTCCTAGAAGGAAATTTTGAGTCTATCTGCCTTACCTACAGAGTTTTAAATGGTTATTTTCTCACAAAAAAGTGGTTGTCAATCATTAATGACTTTCGAAAACAAGCAATGATGTTCTGCACATAACTGGCACTCAAAAATGTCTGTTTAAATTAATCAGTAAAAGCTTACGACAGCATTGGGGTCTATTTAGAAAGGGAAACATGATTTAGAAAAGAAAACTTAGAAATAACATTTAATCTAATGCAAATTCAGTCAGTTGACTGTATTGGAAATAATATTAGAATAATAGTCAAACTAGGTTCTTACCTAGTTCTGCCACCAACTAGTTCTGTGATATTATAAAAGTCACATATTTAAAATAAATTTAAGAGTGAAGCAGACAGTATTACAATGTTGAAGAATGAAAACAGGAGTCTAGGAAATGAGATATCTTGGTTAGCAATTCAGCATTTATATTAACCTCCCTGGGCTTGTTACCTCATAAAATGAGAGAGTTGAATTAACTGACCTTCAAGTTCCTTTTCATTTGTAGAACATCGTAATTTCATGAAGAGGCCCACAAGTAACGGCATGATCAAAATTGCTAAGGGTAAGCCCTGGAAATATCCAAAGTTTGGTTTTATTAGAAATTTGCTGTTGAAGGCAAATATATATAAGCTAAAGGGAGAGGAAACATCAAGAGTCATAGCATACCTGCTTGTTGAATAAATGAATAAGGACGCACATATATAATGACTATGATCATTTGTATACCTGTTTACAATTTACAAATTGTTTTCCCAAAAAGTATGCATTTCCTCGTTTTAGCCTAAAAAAAAACCTTTGAAAAACTAAGATCATATACCATCACCGTTTTGGCTATGAGGAGACTGCAGTGTAAAGTGCAATCTCCTGTCATTGAAGGGAAGAGTAATGTCTTCGCCATCTTTCAAGTCCTAGCTGAGACTCTGGCACATGGTAGTTAGACATCTAGTTAGAGGCTGAGATAATACAGAACTGAGTTATTCTGATTCTTATTCTAGCCCTTTCCTGCTACACCATACAGATACTTGAGTTACAAAGACTTGCTTTAAAATATACTCACGTTTTTTCTCCCTCTAACAGCGTTAAATCCACTAAAACCATTTCACTACATCATTTCACAAACACAGTAAAAAACAGCCTTTTTTCATAAAACTACCTAATGGCTAGTTTTTTAATAAAACAGTGTTAACTAGGATTTATTGAATGTTTACAATTTGTTCTATGCACTTTGTGTACCATCTCAATCATCTGAGTAATTCTCAGATAATTATGATTATTATCCCTATTTTGTATAGGAGGAGAGTGAAGCTTGGAAGTTTAAGTAATTTATTGAGGATCACTTAATATGTAAAAGGTGGAACCATGTTTCATAGCCAAGCATATGGAGTATACTCCTGCTCTTAACCGTAACTTCCTGACTCCGTCAGTGTCTTTTTCTCTTACCGCCTAATTTCTTGCTCCTTCAGACTTCATCGTGTCACTATCCAATATCCTTCTGTGCTTTTCAACACTTAGATCTCAATTATTCATCCTCTGGTTATATGTCTCAAACACACATATGCACACATTTTACCACTCTCTTTTTTTCCTCCCACATTTTCTTTTCTAACCTAGGTTGCTACATTTTTTTGTTTTAAATTTCATATCATTCAAACATAATACCTGATAAGTCCAATGCTGTATCTCACCAACAGCAGAGAAAATGACAGTCTTAAGTTTTAACTGAAATTACACTTAAATACCAGACCAATCAATTTATTTAGCTCTTGAAAGTGTTAAAGCTCCGTAAAAGTTACCAAAAGTCTTTATTCTATTTTAAATAAATCTGTTTTATGCCAATATTCCAGAAACCATTTTCTAATTTTAGACATTTAAAAACATTATTGCAATTTCAACAGTGGTGATTTTTTGTTTGTTTGTTTTCCTTTGAACCTTTATAAAATTTTACTATTTAAACTATTTTACTATTTTATATGTATCAGATGTTAAGTTACGTTTTTTGGTTTTTTGTTTGTTTTCGGACAGAACTGAAAACTACCAGATTAAAAGGGATTCTAAATATTCAAGATAATTTAAAATTCAACATAATCATCTGAACAGACAGATTTTCTTTATAAGTTGTCTGTCATATTATCGTTTTCTTTAAAATTGTTCATTGGTTATAACTTGTTTCTTCTTAGGAAAAAAAATAGTTTCTCCCTGCATTAATGGGCCAGTGGTGATTAGAGTGCTAAAGGGATCAATCAAATCTTATTTTCCAAAATGTGAACTGTTTCAATATTTAATTTTCAAAAGAAAAAAAAGTTAATCAAAAGGAACCAAAATTCATGGAACAGATTTCTTTCTTTATAACATTTAACTCATTAAGGAAATGCTTTTTCAAAATCTATATAACAGTGGCTGGTATTTTGTAGCTAATAAACATACCTATATTCCTGATTACTGTATACAGCATAGATGTAGCATAAAATAATGTTGAGAATATTTAGGGTCAAAAATACTTCAAAGTTTTCTCCCAAAATAAGACCACTTTCTAATTTCTACATGAATGCCTCTTTAAAAAGCATGGTTTCAGGGGATTAGGCACTTGGAACACACAGACAAAATTAAATGAAGTTATATTCCTATAGAAATCACAAACTCCCATTTTGGCATGTTTGTCTCAGTGATGTAATATCTACTAGATACATATAACTGCCATTTTTTTCAATATAATCACAACGTCAGGGAAATATGACTGATATTTCTTAGCTGAGTTCCAAAAAGATGCTCATTTATCTTGAGTTCCAACAGTGCGCTTACCAAAACCAAAAATCTAACCTATTGCTGTGGAGTCATTTCAACTCACAGCGACCCTACAGGACAGAGTAGAACTGCCCTGTAGGGTTTCCAAGGAACAGTTGGTGGATTTGAACTCCTGACCTTTTGGTTAGCAGCTGAGCTCTTAACCACTGCACCAGCAGGTTTCCTAACAGTGTGCTTAGCACCTTAAAAAGCTTTCCAGATTCTCTTGTCTCCTGGGTTACTTCTTTCTAAAGACAATCATTGCACAGGTAAATCTTTTGCAGCTATTCATTACATATTAATGATGTTAATGTTTTAAGAGAGGACTACTTCAAATTTGAGAACAATGTATTGATTTGTGTATTTGTGCTTTTAACATTATACACATATTCAAATGATCAATATTTTATATAATCTAGTTTCACCAAATATGTTCAACTCTTTTTTCTCATCTCTTTCCAATCCTCCAGGGCACTAATCTTCTTAGAGTTTCTGGTGTATCTTGTGCTTACTCCTGTTTCTGATATATTCCCTATGTTCTTCTTCAGGAACAGAACATCAGCTTTCTTTTGCTCTACTTATTAATACTGCATGCTTGTAAGGTAAGCCAAACAGAACTTCTCAAAATCTTCAGAAGACTGTAGCTCATACTGATCCTGATATTCTCTGAAATTCAATTGCACATACAGTCTTCAATAACACATACGTTCATAATAAGTTGTTTTCTAACTATTTTAGATCTGTTTGTTATATTTCTACAAGTAGAGTATAAATTTCTTGTGAATAGGGGCCCAGTATACTATTTTGTTATCCATTGTTACCCACTCCAAACCCAAGATATAACCTATTGCAAGCCCTTGTACTGTCCTAAAGAAAGAGGTTATTTTCTGATAACACATCTAAAAAAAAACTCGTTGCTGTTGAGTTGATTCTGACTCATAACAACTCTACAGGACAGAGTAGAATTGTCCCACAGAGTTTCCAAGAAGCACCTGGTGGATTTAAACTGCTGACTTTTTGTTTAGCAGCCATAGCTCTTAACCGCTATGCCACCAGGGTTTCCAATAACACATCTAGCCAAGGAATAGTACCACCCCTCAGGGCTTTACCCAGTCATGGCCCAGCAACAGCAGCTCTAGTGTGGGACAATACCTGTCTTATTTAGGTGATCTATTTTCCACTTATTCCAACTATGTGACTCAAGTGGGCGTTGCCTATCATTGCACAAAGTACTCCTGGCTGTAACGTTTTACAAGTAACGAGAACGGTGCCAATCACAGATATGCCCTGAGATTTTTATAACTTGAATTAAGGAAAGGAGAGCACCTTATTGTCTGATAGCAAAGGTTAGAAGATACAGGGCTAGAAGATATTTCAGCTATTTCCATTTCACTGAGAAAGTTAATCTGAGAGAATGAAATTACCACATGGTAAGAAGCATAGACAGATGAAAAAACAAGGAGAGTGGTTCCTGGCATTGATCTAGTTTCTGATCCAGTTTTCTTTGAGGTCTAGATATGTCCTTGCCCTTCTAGCAGCTGGGTAACTGGAACCTTTTGCAGATATATACCCAAAGATTAGCAATATAGGAGAAAGGATTATGAATTATTTTGGTATTTCACATTTTTAGTATTGACATATTCTAAATTTAATTCAAAAAACAAATATTCCTGAAAAAAGGAGCATATAAAAATAAATGTTACCTATCAAAATATAAATTATGTTACTATTTATAAGTAAAAGAGTATAATAGATATCACTCTTTGTCTTTCCTAAAAATAACACTTGCACTTTATAAAGTATGCAAATATGAGCAAACACTACACAAGAACTAGACCAGAAGTAATTTCAACCTTCATGTGAATCTCAGGTATGATTTGAACAACTCAAACATGAGAGAATGAGGGCAGCTATTCTGCTTTCAACCTGACATTTTGACTAGATACATATTTCACAAAGAAAATATGGTTTAAGTTGAAATGGTGCCTTCATGTGTAACACTTATGTTCTATTGGATTCAAAATGAATAGCTTATAAGCCATTTTTAAATTTGAGAAAATTTCCAACCAACTTTAAGTGTATTCTTTTTTAAGAAAGAGGGACATTCTAGTCAATCTTCATTAACACAAAAGTCTAAGAAAGGGGCCTTTCACAGAGTCTTTAGGCTTTAGTCTGAAGCTATCAGTTCCTGTCAACACAAAAAACAGAGCTATTAATCAATAATTACACATATTTTAGGTACAGTCTTATATTTCCAATCTCCATGTTAAATAAAGTCACATCAAACATCAGATCAATATTACAGATATTTGTATAGGGCACAAGCTATATTATTGCACCTTACATGCAGGTTCCAAAGGTAAGAATTTCATCTAAACCTGAAAATCTGTATTCATGGTTAGTTCTATTCTCTAGTTTAAAATGGACTTTTAAATGTGTACTTACATACTTAAGAGCTGAACACAATGAGTTGAGTACTTATATTTGGTTAGACTTACTAAAAAGAGGAAAACAGGATAATTAATGTTTAACAGAGTTAAGATATGTAAATTTGAGATATTGTTTTAAATAAGCAGACAATTTAAAACAAGCTTGTGTTGGTTATGTAGTGCTGCTATAAAAGAAATGCCACAAGCGGATGGCTTTAACCAACAGAAGTTTATTCTCTCACAGTCTAGGAGGCTAAAAGTCTGAATTCAGGGTGCCAGCTTCAGGGGAAGGCTTTCTCTCTTTGTCAGCTCTGGAGGAAGGTCCTTGTGATCAATCTTCTCCTGGACAAGGAGCTTCTCAGCACAGGGACCTGAGGTCCAAAGGACGCCCACTCCTGGTTTTTCTTTCTTGGTGGTATACAGTCTCCCTGTCTCTCTGCTCACTTCT